GTATTTGGAGACGGTCTAGTTAGAAGCAGAGTCGAACAAGATTGTAACAGGAGCTAAAGGTGAGTCTTGAAAAGGCGTAGAAGCTCAAAGTGAGGTCTTTTTTGGGGGGAAAGATAGGAGAATTATTCTGCCAGGAATGGAGTGATAATACGGGGGTTCAGGTGCTTGCTTCCCTTGCACCCAGCTACCTAGTTCAATTCCTGTTATCCCATCTGGTCCCCCGAGCCCCAACAGGAGTGATCCCTGAGCACAGAGCCAGGAGTAAGTCCTGAGCACAGCTGATGGAACAAAACAGAAGAAACATTTTGATGATGTAACAATGCTGATTTTTTTTTCTTTTAGCTCTTCGGATCACACCTGGTGATGCTCGGGGGTTACTCCTGGCTCTCCACTCAGGAATTATTCCTGGTGGTGCTTGGGGGACCATATGGGATACTGGGGCTCAAACCTGGGTCAATCGTGTGCAATGCAAACGCCCATCCCACGGTGCTATTGCTCCAGTCCCAACAATCCTGATTTCTAATTTATTTGCCATCTTGCAGAAAGTGGCACCACATTTCTTAGAGAAACAGGGAAAGCTGCACTTTTCTCCTCCTTGGGCCATTGAGATTTCCCTCTGACTCTTTACCAGAGGCATGCTTTTTTGTTTATAAAGTGTTTAGGTTTCATCCAAGCCCTCCCGCCTCTCAAGTCATTTCCCAGGGGTGAGCTGAGTTGTCCCTTGCGAATCGAATCATCTTGGAGCCTGGCGGGAAAGGAGGCGGAGGCTCCAGCTGCCTCCCCTTCACCTTCCAGAGGTCAGGAAAGCCCAAGCTGGGCCTGGTGCTGCCAACTGTCAACAAGGATGAAAGGAGATGACTCACTGCTCCTTCACACATTACCCACTGCCATTTGCCTGGCAGTGAAAACGGTTCAGAAAATAGTGTGTTGGTGAGGAAACACAGGAAAGAGAGAGAGAGAGAGAGAGAGAGAGAGAGAGAGAGAGAGAGAGAGAGAGAAGATGATTAAGAGGAAAAACCATTAGCCCCCAGGTTTATACAGACACCTGCTGTTTCCCGATTCCAGAGCCCGTACAGTATCAAATGTCCCCTGTCACTGTACCTGCTGTCAGTGGCTCTGCCACAGAGGGTGGCAAACGGCTCCAGCAGGTGCCCTGATTTCAAAGCCAGGGGCTCTAACCTGACGGCTTGGGCTAGCAGCCAACGTTTGCAGAGGAGACCAGCGCTCAGGCACCAGCCTGTGGAATATTCCGGCTGCTTGGGTCATGGGGAAGCGCAAGAGCCCCTGGCCAACGAGGGCCTGGGACAAGTGGAAGCATCTTGAGTAAAATATGTTTGTTTTGCTTTGGGGGCCACACTTGGCGTGCTCAGGACTTACTTCTGGCTCTGTGCTCAGGAATTACTCCTGGCGGGCTTGGGGGACCATATGGAATGCGCGGGACTGAATCTGGGGTGGCTGCATGCAAAGCAAATGCCTTACACTATGTACTATTGCTCCTCCCCCCCCCTTTTTTTAAAAAAAAAATCAAATCACAGTGAGATACACAGTTACAAAGTTGTTCATGATGGGGTTTAGTCAAATAATATTCCAACACCTGTCTCTTCTTCTCTCTCTCTTCTCTCTCTCTCTCTCTCTCTCTCTCTCCTCTGTCTCTCTTTCCTTTTGGGCATTATGATTTGCAATACAGATACTGAAAGGTTATATAATGTGTATCCCTTTGCCTGCTTTCGGCACGCAGTTCTTGTCCAGAGTGATCATTCCTAACTATGACTGTCATGCTGGTCCCTGCTCTATTGTAACTGCCCTTGGTGCCCCGCCATCTCTGCCACACACACTTGTGGCAAGCTTCCAGCCACTGACCGGTCCTTCTGGCTCCTGTTTTTCCTGGACGTGGATATTGCCCCTTTGAGCAAACTATGGGAGTGTGAGATCCATGTGGCTGTCTTTGCACACCTCAGGCCCGAGGCATCTCCCTGAAATACACCAGAGGACTCCCAGCACCACCCAGCCTGGCTGAGAAGTGAGCGTGCTCGATGCAATGCCTCGGGGCTCAGGACCGCCACCTTCCCCTGGGTCGCCTCGTCAACCTGAGGGGCCTTCCCCATCACCTCATCACCTCTCCAGACTCCTCATTTCACTGATGAATAAACAGATACTAGAAAGGTTGTGTGCTTTGTCTAAACACAGTTAAGAAATGACTGTGTCTGAATTGGAACCCGGGTCTTCTTTGGGTCTCGAACTCAGGATTCTTCCTACTGCATTAAACCACAACAGGCTCAGAAAAATTTCCCCCCACGGTTTCGGGGCCTTGCGGTCCTGAAGTGGCTCCCTCTGCTGCAATGAAGAGTCACCCCGGCTGCTGGGTTTCCTGAGGCCAGCACAGAGAAGGGGATGCTGGTGGGGGTGGGGGCGGGCAGAGGGTGAGGCATGCCACCGACCCTGACCCAGCCACATCTCTGAGCCTGCAACCTGTTCAGCCTTTGCTGCTCCATCACACCTTGACTGCAGTCCCAAAGCCAAAGGACAATGTCGGCACTGGGTGTTCTGTTTGTTTGTTTGTTTGTTTGTTTGTTTTTATCAGGGGCTATGCCTGTCAGTGTTTGGGGACCTTTTGTGGTGGCAGGACTCTAAGAAGTGTTGTGTTGACTGGCTACAAGCTTAAACCTTTGAACTATCCTTCCGGCCTCAGTTTGGGGTTTTAAACTCCTGAAATTACCAAAGCAGACATTTCTTATATTGAGTAGGATCTCAGTTAAGAACAGTTGTTAAGAACCTGGTGCTTTCTCTCATATTTCAGTTTTTTCAGACCAAAACGCGCCGAGCAAAAGTAAATCAGTCTTCTTTCTCCCTTTCTTTTCCCCCTGCTCATCTCTGGAATGAAAACGTCCCCCGAGCTGAAGAGAGAATTCAGGGGGCTAGAGCACATGCTTTGAACGCTGGGGGCCTGGGTTTTATCCCCAGTGCTGCATGGGGATGCATGGTTCCCTGGACTATACGAGGAGTGGTCATTGAGCACTGAGCTGAGAGCAACCCGTGAGCACCACCAGGTGTGGCCACAAAACAAAGTCCCCTTTCCCATTAAACTATATTCACAGCACAAAACTACAATCCAAGATTGTGTAGTTCGGACAGAACCTCTTCACATAAGCAAGACTCAGAAGATTTTATATATACATTATATATAACATATGTGTGTGTGTATGTGTGTATACTCACACACACACCTTTTTTTCCCCTTGCTTTTCGGGTCACATCCAGCAATGCTCAGGGATTACTCCTGGCTCTGAACTCAGGAATTACTCCTGGTGGTGCTGGGGGGACCATATGGGATACTGGGAATCGAACCTGGGTCGGCCTCGTGCGAGGCAAACTCCCTACCCACTGTACTATCGCTCTGGCCCCCCACACACAACTTTTCAAGTTAATATTTTGAAGTCACAACTGGTTCACTGAGCTAAACTCCAAATGGAAATTATGAGATGTGTGCTCCTGAAAAAAGGGTGGGGAGAGAGCTTCTTCAAGCTGAGAGGCACCAGTTTTATGCAAAGTAATTTTTTCTTTCTTTTCTTTCATTTTTTTTTTTGGCAGTGCCAGGGATGGAACCCAGGGCTCCCATGTACTCTAGTCTCTCTGAGCCATCTCCCCAGTGTGAAACAAATTTTATTTATTCATTTATGTTGGGCTTGGGGTCATAACCGGCAGTGCTCAGGACTTACTCCTAGCTCTGTGCTTAGGGATCACTCTTAGTGGAGATCGTGGATTCACACAGGGTGCCAGAGATTAAACCTGGGTCAGCCATGTGCAAGCCAAGTGCCTTAGCTGTTGTGCTACCTGTCTGACCCATGAAATAATTTGATCTTAAAATTATTAAAGGGATACACAAAAATGTTTAGCTAATCAAAATATAGTAAGTATAAGCACCAAGTTAGGTAATTTTGAGGTAAAGGCATCCTCTTAAAACTCTATCTCTATAGTTCACATAAAATGCCTGCCTGTAAAAAAAGTTAGAGCAGAATAAAATGTATTAAGATTTAAATAAAAAGAAAAACAGAATAAAATGTATTCAGATTTAAATAAAAAGAAAAACAGGCTGGCAGCTCCATGAAAGCTATTGCAAAGAATAAACATAAAAGGAGAGAAAAAAATCAATGGCGGCAAGAAGGTTTTCTGGGGAAAAGACTGACAGTTTTCTAAAATATTACTGGTGGTGAAGGAGGTCTATTTTCATGTGGGAACTATTTTTGTTCAATATCACCGACTTTCAATTTAGAGCAAAACTGATAGAGACAATTCAGTTGCCGACTTCACAAATACAAATCTATTTTAAATATCCTGGTCACGTTTCTATAAACATCTGGGAGAGTTCAGCAAAATTTCTCTGCCATTCGGCAGCCCTAACACTTTAATGGACATCACTATTTCTGAGCCATCTTGTTCTGCTGTATTTTTGACAACGTGAAAACCAATGGCATAAAAATTAATTCCTCTCCAAGACAGATGATTAAATCAAACCTTGTTATTTGAGTCATTTTTCCCAAGCACTTTCTTTTGAAGTCAGATTATCAATCAAATTCAGAAAAAAAAATGGTAACACATTTGCGATCATGAAAAAAAGTCTGAGCATGCGAACGGAACCAACTTGTAAAATATAATTACCAAAGATCACAAAAATGCTATCTCGAACATCTTAGTGGTGCGAATTGCATAAGTTCTGCCATGCAACATATGTCATATTTCGAATAAAGAGGAAGAAACAGCACATCTAACACCAACTCCACTTGGGAAAATGGAAACCGAATATTCCCCTCTTCCATACTTAAGACATATTATATTCTATTTGCTCTGGTTACCAAAGTGAATCACAAGAAACAAAAGCGTACAGTGGAAAAGCCTTATTTTAACAGAGGTTAACCCAGCAGGGCGTGTGCAGTAAAGCCTCCTAGGTTATCTCCTTCAAATAATCTGCTAACAGCAGCAGGAAAAAGGGCTTGTATTCTTACCAATGAATTTTTGAGGCATTGAGCTTTTTCGCTTGGCCACATTGCTTGCTAATCTGTCCAGGACGAGAGCTCTTTCACTTCCCATCTCTGCTTTGATGTGTCTTGCCTCCGCACTTGCTGGTTTGGAAAATGGCAAAAAAGAGAGGAGGGAAAAGAACACGTTGGTAAATGGGAGAAGAGCAAACTGGTTGGAAGAAGAGCAGGATGCCGTTACTTGGCCGGCCGTTACCTGTTAGCGCTGCTGGGATTCCTGCCCTGGGTACCTGCTGTGGTCAGTGGAACCCGTACCAGGGCGCATTCAAATCTCACAGTCTTAGGCGGAGATGGGAAAGCCCGACCCATCCCCAACTAGAGCCTTCATTAGCAAGAGGAAGTATAAAATAAAACAGCCTGGACGTGGTTGGTTGCAAAAAAGATAGAGAGATGGAGATATTCTAACCCCCGCCAGCCTTCTTTCTTATTCTGAGTAACTTGTGTGACACCTGGAGCCTGCTATCACTCTTCTTAACAACTTTGAAAAAAAAAATTAAAAAAAGGCTGGTGCCCCAGATTTACTGTGTGCTTATGTTAATAGCACTTTTGAAAATAGACACTCTTACCCGGATAGCAAGAAATCAACTCTGTGATTTGTGTATTGAAATTCTGAGTTTTTTCCCCCCCCTTTCTGTCTTTTTTTCCTCCCTCTTCTTCCAATAAGTTCCTTTCTGTTTCTCTCTTCTACATGCTATTTCTCTGGGCTCTGCACGATCTGTTTCATATGCTGTTCACATTTAAAAATTCTCTCAGTTCAAATTTCCCTGAGCAACATTTCTGTCTTGAAATTAAAGAGCAATTTGCGTAATGCCTCTTCTAATGAAAAATGTGAATAAAAGCTGTTCAGGAATGTGGTCTATTTGTCAGTTCAGGAAGAGACTTTCCAGTGGCTTGGACTGGTGGCCCTCAGAGCTGCCTGGACGCTGGGATCATTGAGGAGCAGGTAAAGACCCCCTATGCTGGTGCCACCCCTCACCGCCCACCCGCACCCTCACCACTGGGTCAGATGAATTAAATGAGGATCTCTGGAAAAGGCCTCTGGGCCACAATTTTCTTTCAGAGGCATCACTCCTGGTTTGCTTGGTCTGACAGTCACCAGGGTTATACCCAGTGGTATTGGGAGGGGTCGGGGTGATGGAGGAGGGGTCTGCAGTGGTAGGCATGTCCAAGAGCAGTATTATTGGGGGGGCGGGCACATCCAGCAGCACTCACGGCTTACTCCTGGCTCTGCCCTGAGGAATCACTCCTGGTGGGACTTAAGGGACCATGCAGAGGGCCAGGGATAGAACCTGGATGGCCACGTGCCAAGGCAAGTACTCTGCCCACTGGACGATTGCTTCAGAATCATGTTTTTAAAGCTCTCTTGATGATTTTAAAATGCAGTCAGAGGGGTGAGGAGTGGCTGGAGATCATGCTTTGCCTGGGGTTTGAGCCCCAGTACCAGGAGAGACCCCAGAGCACCAAGCACAAGGCAGCCCTTGAGCACTGCAGGGTGTGGCCTAAAAACCAAAACTAAAAGAGGATCAAACAAGACGCAGACTGGGGGCCCAGAGCGAAAGTACAACGGGGAGGGCATTTGCCTTGCACGTAGCCAACCCGGGTTTAAAATCCTTGAAATCCCAGAGGGCCTCCAAGTACCACCAGATGTGATTCCTAAGTGCAGAACCCTGAGTAATGCCTGAACATTGCCAGGTGTGACCCTAAAAGCCAAAAAATAACTGCAGTCTGAAAGCTGAGGAGAAAGCGTATGTGTGACCCTGAGATTGAACGTTGGAACGACAGAGCCCACCTTCCCCAGCAAAGCCTGGTTCCCCCAGGTGCTGCCTCCCAGCACTGCTCCCACACACAAAAAAAAGTGGGCTGTAGTGAGAAGCACTAGAAAAACCCAGAAATAATGCCAACATCTAATCAACTAAAAAAATAAGGTGGATGAAATATGGTATAACTCACCTTGGGCCGGCAGGCAGTACCCAGTAAGTGTTCAGGCCAGCACTCAATACCTCTATTGTAAACCACAATACCCAAAAGGAGAGAGAGAGAGCAAAAGGGAATGTCCTGCCACAGAAGTGGGGTGAGGGGGGGGATGGGGTGGTGGTGGTGGGAGGGCTACTGGGATCATTGGTGGTGGAGAATGAGCACTGGTGGAGGGATGGGTACTCAATCATTGTATGACTGAAACATAAGCACGAAAATCTATAAGTCTGAGACTGTACCTCATGGTGATTCATTTAAAAATAAAAAAAATAATAATAAGAGTTCAGGCCAGAGTTCAGAGGGGACATGCGCTCGCCCAGTCCTCGAGCACCTGCTGCTCCCCTAAGTGAGGCATCAGCAAACTTTTCCTATGAAAGGGCTGACTGCAAAAACTTCAAACCTCTACGGGACACACAGAGTTTCTGCTGCATAGCCAGAGTTTCTGCTACATAGCCAACGGCCCCCACCCCTTAAAACACATAAACCACAGGCCAGAGAGACAGAACAGCAAGGATGGCAGCTGCCTGGCAGGCGGTTGACCCGATTTCCAGTCCCTGGCACCCCATCTGGTCCCCTGAGCACCACCAGGAGTGATCCCAGAGCACAAAGCCAGGAGCAACCTCGGAGCACTGCTGAACATGGCCCCCAAACAAAACAAGACAACCAAGTAAACTCCCCTGTTCATAAATAGGGTACTGTCTGTATTCAGCAACCCCCTCCACGACCCCCGGTCCTTGCTTCCTGCTGCCCTATGCAAGCATGGTGCTGAAACTACAAATATTTCCTTTCTGTTTTATCAACAGCATTTCAGGAGGAACAAACTCAAGTGAAGGACACATGCACTTCTAATGTCTCTGAAGAAGCAGAAACCAATATGAAATAACAAAAGACGTAGGTAGCTAAACAAATTTGTAAAAGAAGATGCCAAGTATGACAGCTACAACTACTTGAATTAAGACTTACTGTAAATCTACAGTAGTTGGGAGTAAAATATTAGTGTAAAGATATCACCGTCACAGAGTTGAGGTTCAATAATTATACCATCAATGGACATTATTTTAAAAATAGGCACCAAATATATTTAATAAGTTTCATATTTCAAAAGTGAAACTTGTTTTCCAGTAAATTATTCTGGAATAACACTAAAAAAAAAATAGAAGGCAAAAATCAGTAAGTTTTCAGAGTGAAAACTAAGGGTGTCTGTGACTTGATTCCCTGGTCTCTGGACATTCTGGGAGCAGGACAGGACAGCAGCTCGGTCAGGAGTGGCCAGTCTCTGCCAGGGGCCCTGCGAGTTGCATCGGAACAGGAGGGCCCAGAGTATAAAACACTTTCCACTGAATTATTGGCAGTTTCTTCAAGACTCCATGCCAGTTCTTACATAATAAATAATTCTGCTCAGGGCTTAAAAAAATTCAGGAATAAGATGACAACTGACTCCTCAAATAATTAACAACAGAAAGGCAAAGAGGATGATACTACTGACCAATATATTTCAAAACTCTGTGAACTTCTTGTCAAAAAATGTTTTTCCACCCTAACGAGATCAGACCCGGCCTCCAGTGGAAGCTGTTGGCACCAGGACTTGTGTTCCCAAGAAGAGGAGAGGTCAGGGGTCAGGAGGGGCCAGGGAAGGAGATGGGCAGCTTTGGGGCCGGCAGTCCAGCACCATGACCGGGACTGCCAGACACTTGTAAGGGACAGTCTCTTTGGTGACAGGGCACTGCTGCCAGCTGAATGTGTCCAGCTCCCCTGCGGGCCAGGTCTCCGGGCCCTCACAGGAAACTATCACAGAGATGATTTCCTCTCACACAAACCACTACCAGATGCGGCACAGAACCGGAGCCTCGGGAGCAGAGAAAAACAAGGGACTGGGATTTGCAAGAAGTTCCCGAGCCCGTGAGAGAGGGTCTGTCCCTGGGGGGCCTCAGACAGGCAGCTGGGTTTGGGTGTGACAAGCAAATTCATTTTGCTCCCAGCAATTTGGAGAGTGTGCAAATATCGCCTCCCTGTCATCGTGAGTGACAGCGCAAAAAACAGGGATGCTTCACTTTATCCCAACAGTACCACTAAGCCATGATTTTTCTTTTTCTTTTTTTGGCCAGGAGTGGGAGGGCAGTGGGGGTGGTTTGGGCCACACCTGGTGGTGGTAGTTCATAGGTTCTGGGCTCAGGGATCATTCCTGAAGTTCTCAAGGGACCATACAGAGTGTTATGGATTGAACCCAACACTCAGCTGTATGCAAAGCAAGCTCCTGACCCACTGTGCTCTGGCCTGTGTGCTCTGGTTCACTGTGCTCTGGCCTCTCTGCTTGGGGCTTTGGGCCCCAAGTGCCACTATTCTCGAATTTTCCAGCACATACTCCTCTGTGTGGTGTCCAACAGACCTCAAGGCCTGTCCATACCCTCACAGGACCCAGCCCCCATGTGGTGCTGCCCATCTACCTTAACCACCTGTCACTCCTCTCTCACCATCTCCATTTCGCCAAAGCAAGGGCTCATGGCTGACAAGCTAGCAGATCCTCAAAATCCTTTATCTAGAAGCAGGCCAATGTGGCGATCTGTTCACCAAAAGGGTATCCTTAGAGCATGTCCCCAAGTGGCACCCTTCCGAGAAAATGTCACTTCTTGTTTTGTTTTGGGGTCCAGCTTATTCCTGGGTCAGCGTGCAGGGATCGCTCCTAGTAGGGCTTCAGGGACCATATGGGTGCCAGGGATTGAACCTGGGTTGGCCATGTGCAAGGCAAGCACCCTATCTGCTGTGCTATTTCTCTGGCCCCAATATCACCTTACATCCTTACTCATCACGCTGATCTTGGATGTCATTTCTAGGCAACTCATTTTTTTTCTTTTCCTTTTTTTTTTTTTTTTTTTTTTTGCTTTTTGGGTCACACCTGGCAATGCACAGGGGTTACTACTGGCTCTGCACTCAAGAATTAACCCTGGCGGTGCTCAGGGGACCATATAGGATGCTGGGAATCGAACCTGTGTTGGCCGCATGCAATTGCTCCAGCCCTGAGGCAACTCTTACTGTGTAAATCATCTTACTGTGTAAATCAGTGACAAAAATGAACGCATTTGCTCTTTTTGGCTTTTTGGGTCACATCCGGC